TACGGTAATTATAATAGTTTTGGGTTTAATTGTAATTACCATAAAGTTTTGTACTTAGTTGTAATTGCTATAAAAATTGCAAACTAAATTATAATTATAATTGAAGTTCTGGGGACTACACATATAATTAAATGTAAGCTATTTGGATGTGGACTTAAATTAAAACTTCTATTTGAAATTGGAACTATTATTCCAAATGCATTGGAACATCTTTACCTCTATAAATAGAGATTCGATGGACATAAAAATCCTAGAACAATCATGATACATAATTCTATGTTGTTCAAATTTGGAGAGAGAGAGAAATAGAGTAAATAATAATTATTTTTTAAATTTTCACATGTCCAGTCCAAGAATTAGTTTATTGATTTAATTTAAAGAAGCCAATTTTTTCGTTATTTTAAAACAAAGCCAAATAATCAGGAAAACTTATATGGATTGAATACGTAATTTGATTTTTATTCTCAATGTGAAAAAACTTAATTTTGTGCTTGAGGGGTGTCTTGATGGACCTACTAAGACCATATAATAAGTCCAAAAGACTAGTTATGTTGAGTGGGAGACTGTTGACAAGATGGCTTGCTATTACATTTTGATTTGATGTCAAACGTGCTACAGTAAAGGCTTGAAAGTCAGATTACCTTCATGACATACTGTGGAAGGCCTTTTTGAAGCTATTCGTACCTTATAGAACATCCTCATGTAATCTAAAGTGCCTTGAAGTTTTCACAGTTTGACTATGATTGTAAACTTCAAATAGGCTGAGAGTCTGGGTATAACCATCTATCAAGGAGACTCGGTTTGATATGGTATTAAATTATTTATTTGATATACTTTCACAATTTTCTATGGACTGACATAATATGAAGATATCATTAATTGAGTTGATGATAGAGTTGTGGCATGGTTCCAAGCTGAAAGGTAGATTTGGAAATAAGAGGGAGAAAACTAATAAGAAACATGACAGCAAAAAAAGATAAAAAAAACAAATGAAAAGCCTTGAGGCAAGTGTTCCAACTGTAGTCGGGGACACTGGAGAAAGACTGGCCAAATACACTAGCTGGAAAGCAAAGTGCGGTGAGGTTTTTTGTTACTGAGTGCTGTTTAGTGATTGATACTATAAATTCCTGAGTTGTAGATTGGAACCACTAATTATATCTACATGTCGATGTGGTGCTTCAGGAAAGCAGAAAACTCAGTAAAGTCTAGTTTGAAATCATTGTTGGCACAAGAGTAATTTTTCTGGCTAGAGCATAGGTGTATTTTGTTTTATTTCGGTAGTGATAGGCGTTGATTCTTAAAACACTATTATTATGTCTCATGAATGAAAAAGAAATTTGATTTCTATTTATAATTTAAGAGGACAAAGTTATTCTATAAATTCAGGGTTTGATAGGCTTAGCATTTTAATGAATAAAGTTCATGTTTGCACTAGATATTCGATTAATGGTCTTTATACTTTAAAATATTCCACATATGAAATAAAATATACTTCAACAAACCATAAACAAAAGGCGTATCATACTAGTGATACATATCTATAAAGCCCTAGACAAATTAACCTTAACAAAATACAAAGACTAATTAGAGATAGTCCTCTCAACTCGATTAAGATCGAAGCATTGTCAATTTGTGATTTTGTTTGGAAGGCAATATGACCAGATATCCTTCTTTTTCAAAAGAGATTGAGTCAAAAATGTATTAGAACTATTTTATTCTGAGATATGTAGACCTGAGAATATACTTGAGAGAGGGAACTGTGACTATTTCTTTACATATGGTTACTCTTGATACAAATGCATTTACCTAATGACTTGAAAGTAAAATACTTTTAAGAAATCAAAAGAGTACTAGACTAAGATCGTGAA